CAAAAATATATTGGTAGAAATATCATAATTGATTTGGTTGTAATTTAGTGTTAAGTTTAAGTTTAAATTTTTTGTCTTTTCATTTCGGGGTTTCGGCTGTTTGTGACTCTAGGTGTGATCTTGTCAGGTCCTCCAAAGAAACAAATTGAACTTAACAACATTCACATAAAAAATAGGTGGATAAAATTGTGTAATCTACTCAAAATCGTTGATTCAAACCAAGCATTATTAAAAACTTTTTTTTAAGTGTTTCTATATAGAAACTTTTCAATTTATCAAGAGCCACGCCCCACCATGCATCGCAATGATCAAAAGCAATTTCCAGGTCCGTTCTCATTCTACAAATTCTCTCTTGAAAACAATTTAAACAGATTTCTAAAATTTAGTTGCACATCATCAATTTATCTTTGTGTTTAATTTATTATCTATTATCTATTATATGATATATAAATTATTCAAACAAAATTATCACATGGCATTTCTAAATTTTTAATTTTAATTATAACCTTTTTTTTACTTTACATTTCTCTCTTTTATATTCTTTCTTGATTTTTTATATGCTGTAGTCTTTTAATTTTTTTAAAATTTTCTATAAATATTTTTTATTTTTTAAAACAAATAGCATTTTTTTAAATAGCAAACAAAGAACTCATTTTACGTATAATGCATAAGGTAACCTAAGTACTATAATAATATAAGGGTTGTTCTTCTAAAATTGTCACATGGCATTTTTTTTTCTATATTTTTATTTTTAAAATTCATTTAAAGTATAACTACATTTTATTTTCTTTTTTACTTTTTATTCATCTCTTTAGTATTTTTCTTGACTTTTCATAGTTCTGATCCTTTCAAATTTTTATCATTATATCAAAAAAAAGTTCCATAAAACTCTAAGAGAACAATTATAAAAATATAATTAAGATTGGGTTAAAAATATTTATAAAAATAAAAAATGTTACAATTTTTTTTATTAATATATCTAAAAAATATAATAACCGTAGCTTTTTTTTAATAAGTGCATGTAAGCATACCATAAACAAAAACAAAACAAAATCAAGAATAAACATAAAAACAAATATGTATATATTATGTATTTAAATATAATTATAAACAAATGAAATAAAGCTAATTTCTATAATTAATTATTAAATGTTAAATATGAGTTTTTTTAAACATACCCCTGTTATACTATATAAGATTATAATTATTTTGTTTAGATTGATTTATTCTGCATTAAAAAAATTAAAGAAAGGTTTTCTTATAATTTTTTATATACTTTTCTCACAATTTTTAATCGAAATATGTACTAAATATTTATCTATTAAATAAAAACTTCATTGTCCTCATATCGATATTAAATTTAATCAAATCATACATCGTACATAATTTAAATAGGTATGTATTTCTATCTACAAAAAAAAAATAAAAAAAAAATAGGTATATATTTTTTATTTTATTTTTTTTGGTAAAATAGGTATGCATTTTAATGCATCCTCTGTTGTACTTGTACGATCTAAGAGCTCACGAGAAGGTGAAAAACCTAGAAAAGTCGCACAATACTAACAGGTTTAACATGCTTCTACAATTTAAGTGCTCATAGTTTCATTTGCAACACAAAATATAAGAAGAAAAAAAAAAAGGAAAGAAAGGAAACAAATTAACAATGAAGCAACTATGTAGCAGAAAACTCTAGAACAGAACCAAAATATTGTTATAATGAAGCAATATATAATTAAAACAATTTATATAACAGCAATATAATGATGAATTTGTATAAAAACAATAAAAGCAATTTTTTGTATACAAATTCATCGTATATAACAGAAGCACAACAACTGTGAAAAGAGGGAATTATTTTATCTACGTACAACACCCTTTTCTAGCAAACATCATGTGTAGTTTGGTGTTACAAAGGATGAGTGAGAGAGATGGGTTTTGCCAAATGAGTTGGGTGCTGTTCTCCCGCTACAATTACCAAAATGTTAGGTTCATGATCAACTCCATTGCTTGTTCCTTCTTTGGACATGTCACAGTTACACAACGATTCTGTTTCAGTTCTGCGACGCCTAGAACAAGCTAAGACGAGCAATGCTATCCCTACCACACCAAAAATGGGTGCAAGACCACCGTAGAGGAATGACACTGGTGAGTTCCAGTTCCATAACGTGCCATGGCTACTTGATGTCTGACTCATATATTCACTCAACTAAGCTTACCTTTTAATTTTTTTTTGTTTTGTTCTTAATTGCTGTGGTAATGGGTTTGCTTTACATTTTTAAAGGTGGTCATGCATCCCTATTATTTAATTTTAAAAGACAAGTTGGAAGATTCTTTTTACATTCTTTAATGACTGAATGTGGATTATTTTTAACTAATAGATATTAATTTATTTATTAAATTTGTAGATAGGTTATTCTACCTATTATTTTTTTTGCTTACTTTTTTATTTTTCTCTTCTATTGAAATTCTGATCTAACGGTATTGAAGGGTGATAGACAAAGATAAGCAGAAAAAATAATAAATAAAATAATCTATCCCCAAATTTGTTGTGACAAAGTTTCGATACGATTTTGTCTCAATTTAGAAGTAAAATAAAGGTGCATTAACAAAATAAAATAAATCCCTTTGTAAAGAATGAATTTAGATTTATTCTTTTCATATCCGTAAGTTGGCTGTGATGTGATGTTGGCCTTATCACAAATCCAAGAGATATTGATTTGAACATTTCATGGCTCAAGGAGATACAAATCTTAAAGTAATGGTGGGGATTGGAAGAACCGTAGTTATTAAGTAAAGTATAATAATGTTTATTCAATTTTAAATTACGACAAAAACAATGTTAATTGTGAATATGAATAACGGAAGTCTGGTTTCCTTCAAGCTACTGTTTGCAGGTTCAGAGTTTGCTATAAGCAGTGTAACTCATGATTTTTTTCTATAGAATATAAGGCGGTGAGAGAAATTCCAAAACTTCTGTAAAGCCATATTCTGAGATACCAAAACGAATAAATGGGTAACAGTTCTTGATTCTATTCTTAAGTACAAATTCTATGAATGAGCAAGAATCATATTTGAAAATTTCCTTGCCTATTTGACATTCCCTGTCTTGCGGTCATGTCGGAATGCCAGTAATTAGCAGGGTGTGAAAGACTATTGCTCATTCTTCAGTTTTCTGATTTTGGCCTGAATTTATTTTCAGATACTTCTTCAGTTAGAGATGATGGATTGCTAGATTGTTACTGATATCGACCTATCACATGCAAGATAGGGGCTCAATCTAATAAAAGCCCATGAGGCCCAAAAGTTATCACAAGACTTGACCAACAAGACAACTCATCCCACATACAAGCTGTCTGGATCTCTCACCTAACTTGGCTAGCAAGTCAAGGTAACTTAGAAAGGAAACATCATTGTCGAAATCAGTAACTTAGACAACTTGACCTCTACATGAACCGAATGAATAAATGACAGTATCAGCTTGCCACCACATCTGCGAGGACTAGCTTATCTCTAGACTTCTTGACCAAGGAATAACTTATAAAAGACCACCGTTCTTCGTCAATGAACATGAGCATCATCCTATGAAAGATGATATGAAGCAAGACATGCACGCAATATAAATATAGAGGCATTCAGCAGAGGTATGATGTCTCTATTTAAATACTTAAACGTCGAAGTATCTTATATGCATCCCCACCAGTCTCCTCCAAACTGCTCATACATCAATCTTGCTGCTTCCCCATCTCCCCAAACAGCCCAGCATCTCGGCAAAGCTCTAGAGAAACTTTCTTCTCTTCATCAACATTCTTTGTCTTTAACTGTGTATAATCATACCCAACCCAATATCTGTTAGGCTAACCAGTTCCATTAATTTTAAGTTCTGAAAATTAAGTGTAAGAAAAAACAGTATGTAAAAGCACTCATTTCGTTTAGACCTTACAGAACAAGATAATAAATACTTCTATATTATCACCTTACATCACTTAAACATATATCTAAATAATCAGTTAAATTATTTATTATTAACTATTTAACCATTTACACTTAGTCATAATTTTTATTACAAATCTTTAAATAATTATAGCAAATTAATTGTTAAATTCGTTTAATATTTAATTAATGAATAGAAAGTAAAGTGAAATGTTCGTTTTCCTATCATTTCTGATCTCGTTAATCTGCACAGAATCTATAACTAACAAAGCTGACATTTTGTATTAAACGTTGATGATGTGGCTAAGCTTACGTAAGGCACATATAGAAGAAGATATTTAATTAGTACACCAGCATTTTGCAAATGGTATATAATAGCTTTTCTGATTAAAAAAATCTCTGGTTATTTTAAATTTCTATTTAACTTAGATCCATCCATTCATTTGCATCTCAAATAGTAAACAAACTGGTAGATCTCATTACTTAAGTCACATAGTAAAAAGGCAATCGGATTTAACTGTCTAAGCAAGATGCAATTCAAACTAAATAATGTTATGTAAAATGATTGATCATATCATAACAATTATATAACACTTTTTTTAGTAATATAATAATACATAATTGAAAAGTTATGTAAACACTGTTTTATTCATTTAGCATGATCTCATACATTAATGTGTTAATAGTTTTCATTCACCTTTTCACTTTGAATTCTTTTTTATTTTGCCCCCCTTCATTGTTGATTCCCAAAGTAGCTGTGAGTGTTTCTACCATAGCAATGGAGACTAGCCCAATGCTGAGGCACGCAGCTTAAACACCTAAAGGTGTGTCATGCCACTTTGATCTCAAAGCATAATCAACAACAATTATAAAAAACTTTGCAGGACCAAATTAAGATCACCTTCAATGATATCACAATAGTTTCTTTGAAATTCGAATGTACAAAATCCCTAAAGCCATATAATCGTAATCCCCATTCAAAAGTTAATGAGGAGCCACGGTAAAGCTGGTCAAATACATACTCATTGAAGATATAGGGACAATTGCTAGGTGAGCGAAACATTAAAAAGATCGATCAATAAATAAATGGTATGCCATTTATGCGCATAAATTCTGAAGAAAGACACAGGGAGATTGGCTATTTTATAAATTACAAGAGACAAAACTATGTAGAAATGACAGAAACAATACTTAATAAACCCAACGCCGGACTACCTAGACTACACCAAAAACGAAGAAGATTTTAAACTGCTATTGCTTTTTGATCCATTGATATATAATTGGACAGTAAATGCACAAAATTTTTTAAACGACTACAATATGCAATCATGCCCCACTGTTACCTTCAGAGAACTTTGCAATCAACTTGTCAACATGGATAATGATATCATCTATCCGGGGCCGCACAGCAGCCTGGGGCTGAAGCATCCATGACACGAACTGACGAAGAGCTTCTGGATATGAAGGCTTAGGTCCAGCTGGCCATTTGACCTGTGCATTTACAACAGCCAATTGCAGGCTTCCACCAGACTCTCCAAGTGCATATTCAAATGGAGATACCCCATACCTGAAAAATTCAGCCAGGTGATATAATAAACAATTAAGCATGTGCCCTAAAGCTGCCAAGATATATTTCCTACACCCCAAAAAACAAAATCAAAGATGACAATCATGAGATAGTAACCTATGCAGAGTGATACAATAGCTTGCGCATGGATGTGTTTTTCTTTTGAACTCACTGTTGGTTGAGTAGCATTACTCAAAACAGTAATGTCATTTAATGTGTTTTCTAAATTTCTTTTACACAAACATGCCACAATTTTGAACCGGTGACTCTGGCTCATAAGTAGGACTTGCCATTAAACCTAATGGTCAGTTGGTCACTAGCCCCTCTTTGGAGCTCAGAGCACTAAACATCTCACCTGCTATGACAGAAAATTTGATCAGGGCCAAAAAAAAAAAAAAAAACTATTCTCCAGCTTCCCCTTCTTTTCTCTTTTATAGGTTACACTAAATGAACAAAGAAATATAGAATTTTCATACGTTGTTTCATCAACATCACCTACACACACACAAGCCAACAACATACAGCAATTCCAACAAAAAGGAGATTGGTTGGGGATGGTCATAAAGCAACTTCGATAATTAAACAACTTAAAATATACAACCTTCTTCATGCTCTTTAAAAAACTCTAATTCATCTGTTAATTTGTAGGATCTATATACACATCAAGGGTTCAGAATCAAATGTATTGTACATATGATACTAATGTTTTTGAGGAAACAAATAAAACTAAAAGAAAAAACTACCAAAAAATGACTGAAATATGGTTAAAATGTTGTAAGAAGGCATGATTATTGGTGAGACATATAGTCCCACATTGGTTGTATGTGCAACTAATGTGGAGTTTATAAGGTCTTGAGCACTCCCACCCTTTGAGCTAGCTTTTGGGGTGGTGTATCCCAAGGTTCTTTACAATTATTAAAAGTTCTAAACATAAAAATTAACATAATCACATAAAAAAGAAGGATCAATCCTCACATTATCGCATATAATGTGCATCCTAGTGACCAAATGTCAGTCCTCTCATCTATATCAGCATGGCTCGGGCAATCCCACAGTTCAGGAGCTCGGAAAGGAGCAGAGCAGTGTTCAGAAGCCCATTCCTACATAGAAAGACAAGTAGCAATCAGCAGGTTAGAAAATCCAAGCCAGATGACTGGAATGAAACTTTGCTCTCTCATATTAGACTATTAGTATAACTTATTCAAAAAAGAAAAACTATTTAAAGAATTAGTAGTGCCAAAATAAGAACCTAAACTAAGCAATTATTGACTGTTTTTAAATGAAACAGAGAACCGCTTAATGTACTTTAACAAATTAAAAATATCCATTACTAGCCCGATGATGCATATGCACCAACACAATTTCACAAACTACAAATGCGGCAAAAGCCTCATAAACATTTTAAAACTTGATATACTTATAAGCACCACATATTCTGTGTTGCTTAAAATTACCAGTACCCCAAGAAATGGGAGAGCTAAGACATTAAAACAGTACACAAATTTTATTTATAAACAACACTTCATAAGAAAGGAGAATAAAGAAGCACCTGCAACTGGAGTGCCTCAGATCGGGAGCTAATTTGCCTCCTCGAAGGACGAGCACTGCCAAAATCCATAAGAATGGCAAGAGGCGGTTGTCCTTTTCTATGTGTTAAGAGAACATTACCAGGTTTGACATCGTTATGTGCATATGGAGGATCTAAACTATGCATATGTTTCAGTCCTGCACAAAGCTGTTGAGTTGATTTTTCAGGGTTAAAAGAGTTTTGGAATAAAAAAATTTCTGTCAGTTTAAAGTAATAGTAAACCCTAAAACGTCAAAAAGTACATTGAAAATAAAAAGCAAAAAAAAAAAAAATGCTGCTCAGATAGATTCTAAAGAAGCAGACCAGAGAAATCCATATTTCTTCTTCTACTATATGATTCTTAAGAGAACAAATAACCTATGTAGCAAGAATAGCTTGGTGAAATTTTGAATATAAAAAAATGACAACCAAGAAAGGCTATAATATATGTTAAATAAGATATCACATGCCGGAAATCTTGAGTTGCAACACAGATACACTCATGAAAAAAGTTATAATAAGCAAAATGCACATAGAACAAAGGGTTCATTTTACCTGCCGAAATATTTGAAGAACATCTGAGGTAGAATAGAATTCCTTTTTGGCTTTCATTGTTTTGGCATTGTCTAGCAATGTTCCATCCAAATGAACTGGAAATAACAAGTATGCTTCATGGTTCCAAGACGTTTCTTGGGTAGGCTGCTAAAAAAAAGGACATGTTCTACATAAATATAAAAGCACGAGAATTGAAACAAGGAAAGGAACAAATTCCCAACCATGTTTGCAGAACCTAGATTTAGTACAGCAACATTAGCAAGAAGTCCGGGGAAAACAGCACCATTAGTAGTGATATTATATGTTCGGAAGAAATTATACCAGCAGCACAAGACTTATTTGTACAGAATTAATCAAATTACAAATTATTATGTAATAGACTGGAATCAACTTGGCCAGGATATGCAAATCTCACCCAGTACGTACCATTGAAAAGCCTTAATGCTGGCTCATTATAATCTCTTCAAAATCACATATCTCAATAGATTTTCATCTAGCCTTACCAAGAAAAATCACACGAGATCATGGTACACATCCAAGACAGACAAGTAGAACTGAGAAAGAAAAACCATTTTGACCGGATTATATGACTGTTCAGTCCAGTCTAGACAAAATGGATTTAACATGTCTTTTCATTCAAAGTAGATATAGGAAATGAATATCTATGTCTTTGAGATGTAATGGTAATTATAATAATTAATATGGCCTTATCTTCTATTACTTAGAAATTTAAATGTTCTGATAAAGTTCTTTAATCAAAATAAATAATAGATGTTATAAACATCATATTAGATTGTAAAATATTGATCACTTCAACACTACATATTTTGGCAGTGGGTGAGGTAGGGCTAAGAATGCAGGAAGTTCAATTAACAAACTAAATTGCTCAGCTTGTAAGTAAAATGTTCATTGGGATTGATAATGCAGGAGCAGGTTCTACACATGAGTTTTCATTTTCATCTCAGAAAATTTTTACAATGAAGATGACAAGCAAATTGCATGAGAATGATGAACACTTTAAATCATTTAAGTTACAGCCCAAGTGCTCCTCGAAGATATCGCCTTCACTCAAGTGAGGTTGTTTTCTATTGCTGTAGTACATAGATTTTGGAAGTACAAACTGCTAATTCAAAACCTTGATAACATGTTTTCAAAATTAGATCCAAGCATAACATTTTTCTGGTAAGTATGTACAGAGACCTGAATCAAGGGATACAATAAAGCAAATTATATAGAGGAACAAATTTTTAAGCAAAATAACTAAGTGAAATAATCAGATTTTGGGTTGTGTCTGACCTGAATGAACCAACAATACTCTTATATTAATGATTTCACGTCTTCTGAAAAAAACTGCTGAACTGTGATTTAATAAGGAGAGAAATAAGTGTTGAATGCAATAACTACTTACTTTAACAGAAATGATTGCATGATCAAGAAGTGGAAGCAGATTCGGGTGATTGAACAGTGATGAAACACGGATCTCCTCCCTGACCAACTCAAGTTGTTCATTGTTCTGAATGAGAACCTTTTTCATAGCATAAGTTCCGTCATCTGCAGAGAAATGATAGTAAATTTGATGGATTTATTTTGATCCAAGGAATCATAAGGTCCCACCAATTTTTGAAAAAATAAAATAAAATAAAACAGTTAACTGGAAGTTTTTAGTTATTACAATGACAAGGCACTTTCTTCACTACTGATAATCAAAATTAAACTAAGACAATAGAACCTCCTATTCTCAAATGTTGAAAGGAGCAACGAAAATTACACGCCTTATCATCAAACTTAATAAAAAGGACAAACAAAATCACTTTCACAGTTGCCGCAACAACAGAATTGTATATAAATATCTCAACGAAGAACATTGGCTTGAAGCGGTAGCATTAGATAAATCAGTAATTAACTTCTAACAGATCAGAAATCGAAATCTCTAATCGAAGAAGCATTTTAATTTCAAGAAAGGAAATGCCATCGGAGATCAAGTAAAACTGAACGTTTAAATGCAAAGATTTGCATGGATCACACAGATCAGGCTAATTTCAAAGAACAAAAAAAAAAATGAGAGAAATAGAAATTTCAGATCTGAATGCAGATGCGAAAGAGATTTAAGGAATGAATCGAACCGGAGAGATGAGAGGAGTGTTTGAGCTTGTTGGCGAGGCCACCGGCAGCAGAGTCGGCAAGAACCTCCTTGACGAGGTAGACGTAGGCGAAACCACCTTCTCCGAGCTGCCTCATGACGCGGAACCGATTCTCGTTGATCCACACATCCCCTCCTCCGTTAACGGAATCGTACAATGCATTAAGACCAGAAAATGAGCACCCCATTCTCTTCTTCTTCTTCTTCTCCCCTTTGCGTGTTTCGAATTATAAATAGAACTGAAATCAGGCGTCCAAAATATGATTTTCGAAGACCTGATTTAACGTCAATTGAGTTATAATAACGAAATTTATGAATTGTCTGTGTTAACACTCAACCCTCCCTCCCTCCCTCTAATTTATTCGGCTTTCCCATTTTCTTACTTAGCTCCTTTCTTAACGAAACACCTGTTTATTTTTATTTTGGGCACCCCTACCCTTCTCCTTAAATTAAAAATTCATCGAATTTTGTATATTTTATTTTAATGGCCTTGGCCTAACTTTATGTTTGACCCAATGTTACTAGTTAAGTCAAGATCAAGATCCAAAATCGTAAATGAAGCCACAGTGGGAGCATACCGAACGACCAGTGTATTACTATGACTTCAAAATTTATGAATAACTTATATATTTTTATAAAAAAAAAATCACTCTTGAAATAACAATAAATAGAGTCTACGAAATAAAAAAACGTTAGGTTGCATGTCAAATTGAAAATAATAGTAATAATAGACAGCACATCATGATTCTACAAAGATCTGCACCTGATTATCCAATTGTGGACAACTAGAGGTAAGGTGAGTCCCAAAATTTATCAACTGTTCAGCATGATATCAGTTCGCTTTGGTTTATATATCCAAAATCAAGGTATTATTCCTGTTCGTGAATTTTATATATTTTTTAAATTAAAAATTTTTATTTAATGAATAAACATTTAGTGTATGTTTGAATTAATTTTTTTATTTCAAGAAAAAATTCTATTCTATTCTATATATTTAGTGAAAAGTTTTGCTTTAACAATATGCATCGACTTTCAAAAAATTTACTTATTCTTCATTTTGAAAAAAAGGACCACAATATCTTTGCAGTTGGGCTTTTTATATTACTAGCTAATGGTAAACTTAGCCTGAGAAATTAAACATGAATACTGCGTAGATTGGGAGCATATCTTTGGTGCTACAGTATGTATTTCTTTACTAAAAGTAGAAAAATGTGACGGTTTAGGCGAAAATAACCATGCAAGAAAAAGTAAAATGGTAAGAAAAATATATTATTTTTTTCAAAGTAAATGATGCACTGAGTCTTCAGTACTCCCGTAGTACCAAAGATATTTTCGCAGATTGGATACATTTTTCTCCTACTCAGTAGCAAAATAAAATTTGTTCTACTTAAAAATTTCCAATTCAATTATCAAGAGAATATACCACGATTTCACGATTTGAAAATGCCAATTAGGTTTTATTTCAATGGTTTTTCATATCTTTGCAGACATTTCTATGCAACTATTGGGTTTAGAAATGAGCATCCATGCTCAGCAAACCAAGCAATTTAACTAATCATCCGGATAACATAAAAACACCAATGCAACATATATCAATGATACAATGAATGTTGGGAGAGTGCTGCTCAAATGGCTGGTTGTTGCTGAGTAATGCAGTGTATATTTCCACCCGCCAAAACAATCTCCCTGGAACCTTCAATTCCCACAACCTAGGAATCAGCAAACATTTTAAAATGTCATTAGTAATATTTTGTTACTATTCTCTGCGGCTCTGCTAAATGATGGGTATACATTCGCCAGTTTTCATGAAAAACTCCATCCGATTTCTGATGCATTAATAATTCATGATGATAGGCTGAGTGAGAAAGAGAGTTTGTTCTATAAAGAATAAATGCAACAAGCTATCCATCTTTAATGAAAGCATTAGTCCTAAGCTTTTTCTAGAACAAACAGTGATGGTTGGAGGCTCCAACTTGGAGCTACAAATATTCGACCACATACCCTATCACTTGGAAAGTTTATAGATCTCCAGTCCCTCACAACATATTGTTCCCATTTCATAAAATTTTGACTGTTGTCTGATTCACAGATGCTGTTGTTTCATTCTTACGAGTTATCAACCACCATTGTTTTCATTAATTAGATAACTTTCAAGATGTTTAGGATGAAATATACCCTAAATTCATACAATGCATTTAGAAATATTCCTTGATCTACACTAACTGCAGCAATTATTGCAACTATACACATCTTTGAAAGATTACCATATTGCTGAAAGATTCTTCAACCGAAAAGAGTATTTTAGCTATCGGTTCTACTTACTTCATGATCAGGGAAGGCCTTAGATAGGACTCGAACAGCTTCATCATCCCACTTTTTATCTCCAAATTGTGGTGCTATGATAGCTCCATTTGCAATGTAAAAGTTTACATAGGAAGCAGCAAGCCTAGTACCTTGAAGTCTTGGCTTGGCCTCATCAAACTGTCAAATGTAAAATTACAACAGAACAAGCATTCAATGGAAGTGTAATAAATAGCACCAGTTCAATCTTCACCATATCAGGTATCAAAATAGCTTTAAGCTTAGCATATCAGTTTTGATATAATGAGTTGTAGCATCGCCATTATTAGAATATAACAATTTAAAGCCTATGAATAATTACAAACTATTGTTACTTAAAATGATTGGCAACATTTGTCTTGTTTCTGGCACCTCATTTTGCTTTACAAAACTCAAAAGCACAAATTGACACAAAATCTTCATCCAAAAGTATGTCTTGGTTAGCTGCAGGTTGCTAACTGCATTCCAAAGATTGCAGTGCCCATCATCCCAAATTACCAAAAGTACATAGGTTAAAGATCCACTTGGAACCTAATTCCATTTTCTGATTCCTTTGGTGTTAAAATTTAGATTAGGGGAGGGCAAATCACCGAGAGGATGCAGTGGATCTGAGTAGTACAAACAGCAGATCACTTTCTAGTAATATGCTCTTCCTGATAATTACATCCTATTGAAAATAAAACTGGAACAATCATTTCTTGGCTGCAAATGAAATTCATGTTGACCTAATATATTGAATTATGGTAGACAGGTAATCAAAAGGCTGCCGCTAGGAATCTGACCTTCCAACATAAGCAGAGACAAATTCCATTAAATAAACACTACACCCAATACTTGAGAGATACAAGCCAACCAAAACAGATGTTCATATGAATCCTTTATCCTTCCAAGTGTGTAAGTGGATACCAACAAAACCATCGGTCTACTTATATATTTTCCATGTGGTATCCAATCCAGTGAAAAATGTTTCACAGCATCTTTGCAACCAACATTTAAACTTCGTACAAATTATATAAGGCCAGCGTTTTAAGAAATAGCAAATCACATTGCCACAGAGAAAAGAAAGACCTCAAGTATGACATCTTAAACATCTATAACTGATGACCATGCAGCAACAAACTATGCATTGCATCACTTAAAGATACACTACACTGATAATTGGGTCCATATTTTGAAAATTATTTCTATAATCTTTTAAATGAAATGAAATAATAATGATAGCATATCTTCTTTTTTATTACTATTATTTTCAATTATCAAGAAAGAATTAGAAAGTAAATGGGAAATGAAAGAACTGCAAAGTTGGAAGTTTACCTGAAAAACACCACCAGCCTCTTTCTCTGTCATATAGAGTGGACCGGGAATATGGATTTTAATGATTTCAAAATTTCTACCTTTCGCATCAGTTACACTTGAAAGGAAAGAATATGCTTCCACAGATCTTGCATACTGAGGATCAGTTTCATCATCAGTCCAAGACAGAAGGACCACACCAGGTCTCACAAAACAGCAGATGTTATCAATATGACCATTTGTATCATCGTCTCCTGTATAAAACCAGCATAATTCTTAATTAGAATTCAGGGAATAGATAAAATCTGAATACCACTTTGAATATAAAACAGGTATTTACAAATATTTCCAGATCATCTCTACAGGAGTGTCTAATTTCCTAGTTAGGAAATTTCTTTAAATGTTCGCTGATTGGCAAAGTCATTTTCAACAGTGCAGACTGGTCCGTGCTCTTAAGTTCAAGTGTGAAAAAAGTAGTATTGTAATGAAGCTAGTAACATCAGCATAAGGATCCTCAGCGACAAAGTAGTAAGAATATCACAACAAAACAAAACCATTACTAGATTCTTATTTCTTTGAGTAGAAAATTAGCTAAAAACATTAAGGCCAAAATCCTTGTTATTGGTGCCCAGGTAAGACCACCCAATTTTTGTATTAGCTTTAATCTGAAGAAAGACTGACAACAATGTCACAATTTTATCCTATTTTGAGTTTCATTCAGGTGATGATGAGACCTTGAGATGCACCACTCTAAAAGCTAGCTCAAAAGGTGGGAGTGCCCAATGCCTTATAAACCCCACATTAGTTGCCCATACAACCAATGTAGGACTCCAAGTCCCATACCTTGCAAATGGAACCCCAACATTTCACCACGCTTCCCTAGTGCGTGCCCCCACGCACAACTCCACATGATGAATGCTCTGATACCATTTGATGAGACCTTGAGATACACCACCCCAAAAGCTAGCTCAAAGGGTGGGAATGCTCAAGGCCTTATAAACCCCACATTAGTTGCCCATACAACCAATGTGGGACTGTTGGGGTTCCATTTGCAAGGTATGGAGTCCCACATTGGTTGTATGGGTAACTAATCTTGGGCTTATAAGACCTTGGGCACTCCCACCTTTGAGCTAGCTTTTGGGGTGGTGCATCTCAAGGTCTCATCAAATGGTATCAGAGCATTCATCATGTGGAGTTGTGCGTGGGGGCACGCACTAGGGAAGCGTGGTGGAATGTTGGGGTTCCATTTGCAAGGTATGGGACTTGGAGTCCTACATTGGTTGTATGGGCAACTAATGTGGGGTTTATAAGGCCTTGGCATTCCCGCCCTTTGAGTTAGCTTTTGGGGTGATGCATCTCAAGGTCTCATCAAATGGTATCAGAGCATTCATCATGTGGAGTTGTGCGTGGGGGCACGCACTAGGGAAGTTGTTGTGGAATGTTGGAGTTCCATTTGCAAGGTATGGGACTTGGAGTCCCACATTGGTTGTATGGGCAACTAATGTGGGATTTATAAGGCCTTGGGCACTCCCACCCTTTGAGCTAGCTTTTGGGGTGGTGCATCTCAAGGTCTCATCAGGTGATAATCAATATACACTAATTGATTATTTGTGAAGGTCAGGAGCCTTGTTACATCATAAGAGCATGGTCAAAAGCACAGAATTGATTTCCTGACAGAAAGCGCATTCAACCCGAGGGCAGTCAGATTTCATTCTGTTGAGATATATAAAACCATTAATGTAGCCTCCCCCAACGGCTTAAGTTTTTGGGATGAATTGGTTCTTTACATGGTATCAGAGCCTCGTGTCCCGGGTTCAATCCTTACCGCCCCTTCCCCCCCCCCCCCAACTTTCTTTCTAGTGGAATTTCTTTCTTCGCGCAGGTAGGTGGGCCTGTGCATTGTCCACCCTTCAAGCCCATTGGGCTCTCGTGTGAAGGGGCGTGTTGAGATATATAAAACCATTAATGTAGCCTCACCCAACAGCTTAAGCTTTTGGGATGAATTGGTTCTTTACACATTCTATGAAATGTACAATTTGTTATTCAGCTATCGTGGGTTCTAAGCTGCATCTTACATTGGTCCATTGCTCCACTGGTTTTATGCTGAATCAAGGTCTTTTCCAATAAATAGTATTGTCTTATACAAAAACACATTTATATTGAACCTTGTACTACACCTCATGCATGATAAGTACATGTTTGGATTAGAGAAAATAATTGCTTTTTTTCGCAGATTTTTGAGAGAGATTTTTTGTTTGGGGGGGGGGGGGGGGGGGATTATTTCCCATAAATGGTCCATATAAAATCTTTAACTACCACAAAATAAATATCCTAAGCAAAATACTATCAATTCATTGGAAGATTCTCAATCTAAAAGATCCAGCTTTATATACCATATAATCCCCGAGGCAACCATATAACCTTCCTGACTCCAAGATATGCCTTAAGTTGATCCTCTATTTGGTTCTTACTCAAGTGAGGGTTCCTGTTCTTGTTCAAGAGACACTCTTCAGTGGTAAGACAAGTACCTGAAGGAAGAAAAAATTGACGAAGTAAACAGCAAAACTTGTAAATTTCACACGCAATGCAGTAAGGAGATCCAAGTACAGAGCAGTAAATCTAAGAATATTTGATCTGATATCAGGACAGATTGAAATGAAAGCAATGAAGAAAACTAAGCCACATTCCCACATTCATTAATATAACTGTGGGGGGGACTATTCTGCCTAGCTACCACTTATCCTCTTTTATGAATAAATCAGCAATAAAACTACATTTATTTAGAGATGTTTAAGAGCAAGATAGCTAGCATTAAGTAAGCAGACACGTTATAATTTACATCGAAAGCTTGCTTAGATATTTCCCAAAACTAGAAAAAAGCACCTTCAACAAATCACTGCATAACTCTTACCTTCTCCATCCACATGGATGCTTCCACCTTCAAGCACCATTGAATGTGAAAATCTAGGAATCTTCTCAATTTCCAAAATCTAGCAAACATATGATGATAACAAAATCAAGTAAGCAATTCGCACAGCCAAAAATAAATAAATAAGTGAAACATTCAACTTCCCTAACCTTCTTAGCGACAAACATGTCAAGACTCCAATCACTGTAACATCCATCTTCTAAACCTGAACATTTTACAAAATTCCATTAGTTGAAGAACCAATAATCAAGACACAATAATCAATTAATCACATAAGTTTCCTTTAATGATTCCTCAAATTACTCATCCTCTAACAATCCTAACAAAAGTCTGAGTGCTTAGTTACCTCCCCAACTATTAAAGTTCCAGTCAATTCCCGCAATCTTGTACTCTGCATTACCAGATGTTGAAGGGTTTCTTCTCACAACAAACTATTGAACAAAACAAACCATAAAAAGGGACAAAATTTGGTAAACAATAAAAACCACTAATCTGCATGTTTCTATAACCAAACTCACAGTGGGTCCAGTGTCACGAAACCAAGAATCGTTCATGCTGATCTCAACGACCCTGATATGTTCAGGTAGTTGACTCCGTGCATTCTCCCACTAAGATTTCAAGATAGATAATTCAAATATCAGAAACAACAGCATCCATTTCACAGAATGTAATAATACTAATCATTAATATCTACCTGGGCAGAACTACAACAAACGGTTACTGGTTCGAATCTTGCGATAGCAGATGCTGTCCTGGCAAATACACTTTGGGCATGAACGGCACCGTCTCTCCAATTATCTGTGCGTTCCTGTCACGCAACATCACTAACTAGTTTCACAAAAGAGATGAATAACCAAATCATTGATAAAGCAGTGTGTGTGAGTGAGTGTGTGTGTGTGCATGTAGTTTATTCATACTCACAGGCCAACCCATCCAACACTGTTTGTGGGATTCCCACTCTGCAGGCATGTGAAATCCAAGATCAGTTGGTGTGCCTTGAAGATACATCACTATATTCTCTCGCTTCACTTTTCTCTCCGTGATATGTTCTGTCTTTCAGAACGACAAAATGCTTAGACACAGACACAGGCACAGTAATATATAGCACAGTTTAATGAATAAATGAATAATAGTAATTGAAAAATGCATATGCATGACTTTTCAACACTGTTCTTTATTATTCATTATTCTCAGCCTCCAAGGAATGAAAAACCTACAATCGAAGGTAGGTTACTATTTACTAACTCCCAACTCTCAACTGCCGAAGGGAAAGTAAGATCACAATGGAACTCACGTGACAAAATCACGTCAAATAAATAATTCACATCTTTGCGATCAGAATCGTGATTTTTTGGATACCAAAAAAAAAAAAAATTGTTGGTTTTTTTCCCATATTTTTTTAATAATTGTAAAAAATGTTGCCCTTATTTTATTTTAATTGTTATGAGAAAAATATGCTCGTCTTTGAAAGATTATGAACCGCCTGCTATAAAAGAGGTTTGTTTTTTCTGCAGTTACAAATAAGTTATCTGCAGTAAGTTTAATACGATAATGTTTTCAAGTAGAAATTATGGTATTTTTATAATTTTAGTTTATTTTAAGATTATTATAATTTTTATAATTATAATTTTTTAATCTTTTAATCCCAAAATAATATTATTTTGAAAATAAATGCAGATAATTTATCTGCAGTAATTGTAGAAATATTTTTTTGAAAAAAAATTATGAACCAGTTTGATTGCTTTTTTTAAGAAATTAGTATTTTAATTAAAAATATATTTTAAATTTTTTAAATAATTAAATAATTTATTGAAAAAATAATATTAATACTTTATCCTCAAATAAAAATGTACCTTTAAAAAATATATATCATAAAAATAGTCAATAACATACTTTACATATAATTAACGGCATTAGTTTTCCTCTGTCACATATGATAACCAATCATTTATGTAGATACATAATACATGTAACATGGGCCCCATCATTTTTTTTCAAAAACAAGAAACAAAAATAAATGGCACAAGTTTCGATCTGTGTGCAGGAAGGGTAACATATTTTTCTGCAACAGAAGATGATGTTTTTCCTATAATTAAATATCTTTTCCCACTTATCAAAATTAAATATCTTTTCCGAAGCATATAAAGACAAATAGTACTTTTAACTAAAGTGATAAAAATATCGTCCCCTCTTAATTTTTATTTGAAACAACATCTATGTTTTGAAAAATTTAGTGTATAGTTAATATATTTTATTAATAATTATACAATTATATTTTTTTCAATTATTTTTGTCAAAAAGTCAAAAAAAATGTAAAATCATAATTTATATAAAAAATCGACATATTCTTGAAATTCAAAATAAAATAAAATATTGTTTTTATAATTATTAATAAAAATAAGTCCTTAAAAAACAAGAAAAGCACTTCTGACAAGGCACATGCAACACGAATCTTTTTAATTTTACGGGGCATATGACAACAACTAGACAGAATAAAGGAAACCAATTGTGAGGTCACGCCGCATTCGGCCTCCACAGATTCTAAACTCCATCAGCATAAAGTTGGATGGGCTGTGGCCAGGTTTTAGTCAATGAGAATCCTAAAAGATTCTATACGAAAGTTCTCGAGTAAAAAAATTCACAAAAAAGAAAATATTTTTTCACGTGATAGGAAAGTTATTTTCTCTTACCAGTAATCTTTTGATTTTTGTGTAATATTTTTTTTGTTTTTTATTTTTTTAATTAATGTGGGTCCACATAAAATGTGTATACAACATGAGACAATTTTCTCTTACCACATGAGAAAATTAAAACCCTTCACAAAAAGTATAAATAAATAAATAAAGAATTTGTTTTTTTTGCGGTTACTGTAAATAAGTTATATGCAGTAAGCTCAATATGACGTCATTTTGGGACAAAAATTATGATGTTTTTGTAATTTTAATTTATTTCAGGGTTATTATAGTCTTTATAAATATAATTTTCTAATTTTAAAACGACATCGTTTTCAAAGTAAATGCAGATAACTTATCTGCAAAAATATTTTTCTGATAAATAAAACAAGCATGATGTTTGTCGTTTTAAAAGCATAAGTTATGCCATTTTAGGAGAGAGATGAACATAAGAAATGAAAATCACGAGGAAGAAAGCGGGTGGTTTTTTTAATTTAAATTTTAAATGAAAAAATATTATTTTGTATTTATCTCTCTATTAAAATGACATAACTTTATATCATTTAAAATGATAAATACTTTTCTCATAAAATAATATATTTACTTTTTTTTCTTTAAAAAAAAAGAAATACTTTCTTATCTTCCAAAAATATAAAATTGTATGAATAAAAGTGAAAAAGAGGTAGTCTAAGTGAAAATGAGTAATCTAGAGTAGCTCATTGAATCTTCAACCCCTCCCTCCCTCTATAAAATTTACTATTTGCTTAAATTGAATTTATGAATTGTGCAACGTGGTAACGAGCAAAGTTAAGTTGAGTCAGATTTGACTCCAACTTAACTTCCCAGAAAATAAACATCGTTTATGAATTTAAATTGAACTAGTTTTAAAATTTATAATAAATTTGAGCTTAATCAATTAATATTACAACTTGTTTGTTTTAAGTTTTTGTCAGAAATAATTATTTTCTATAATTTTCTAAAGAAGTTGTTAATTTAAAAATTGGATAAGATATTATGCTATCTTTTTCATATTTGATTTGGAACTACTACATGCGAGATAGAGGAATAACCCGAATCAGTAAAATGAGTAATTAGAAATTATTCCATGATTATGATAGAGTAATTGGATTAAAAATTGAATTGTGAGATTTTAGTCACTTTTTGGTGGAAAGTGCAAAATGTGGATAATGTCATATACATGAATAGTAGGGGTGTAAAAGGGTTGGGCTGGGCTTTGGCCTTTTTTGCCCAAGCCTACGTCAAAAAACTTCAGCCTATCTGGCCTGCTGACCTATTAAAGGCTTTATTTGTAGGCCAAGTCCGGCCCATTTTTAAAAATAAGAAAGTCTGACATGGCCTATAGGCCTTATAGGCCTTCCACTGTAGATACTAAACAAAAAAAAAATTGTATAAAGCAAAGAAAGTTCCATCTATGCATGCACTAATACTTCTCATAAGAGAAAAATTACAAACAAGAAAGAGTCAATATAATACGTCAGCTCTAGAATGTATATCATAGAGGAATAGAGTCAAAGAAATAGAGAAAATAAGAAAAATACAATTACCGGATGCTGAAATAAAGTCCACAAGAGAATGTTATTTATTTAAAAATCTTTAAACCACCATCAAGACAAGGGAAAGAAGAGTATTATTGAAAGATCATTTTCAGTAACATCATAATCCAGCAAGGTACTCATTACTCCATGGTATTAAGCTGCAACAACATGTAAAATTTGGAGAGATTAGACAAGTTTTTTTTTCATAAAATAAAATAGCACAAAAAGTAAGAGATATTGGTATTTGGTACTTTGCGTCTTTGCCACATAAAATAAATATTATTTTATTATTTTATTTTAATAAATTAAATAGGCCAGCCTACAAGGCTGTAGGCCGGGCTTGACAAAATTGCCCTATGGCCTATTTGTTAAAAAAGTTTTTTTATAAGCCTAAGCCTACTCTACTTTTCTGAAAGGTCGGGCCTGGACCAGGCTCAATGTAGACCGGGCCGCAGGCTGGGCTGAGCCAGCTTGACCCATTTATACCCCTAATGAATAGTTTCGTACATATGAATAGTACAAATTTTGGGGGGGAAATATAACTAAGCAAAAGTTGCCCGAAACTTAAAAATAGTGTATGTAAAAGCTTTTTTTCACGAGGTTCATGAGTTAAAAATGCATGTTAGAAATGTTAAGTCATTGATTCGAATAATTAAATATGAAGGGAAAATGGTAATTTGGCATAAGCTACTAGAATTCAAAAATTAATTATGTGTGATACATTTCACTAAGACTCATTTGTCTAAAAATCATAAACTAATATTAATTGGATGATTAAATGAGTGAGTGGCATTGTTGTAATAAGGGAGTGGAACCAGGGGCAAAATAATTTTACTAGAAAAGATATTTTGTTAAAATATCTAAAGGACTATCATTATTCATTTCTTAAATTTTTATCTTCTCCATCGTGATTCTCCATCTCCCTAATCGGTTCTTCATTTTCACCAAAGCTTGAAAAACTTATATATGAAATAGCCACAAAAATGACTTGGTTCCTTCACGAAAGTTATTTAGCTTTCCACAAGGAGTAAAGCATACCTGGTAGTTTCTATTTAGAGGCTTTGTGGAGGAAGAAAAGTCACTCCAAAGTTTGGGTGAAATTAGTGTTCTTGATGTTGGAATGTGTGATTCAATTCATTAAAGTTAGCAAAGTCTCTCTCCTAACCTTCTAAAGGGATTTAAGGTAAAGAAATTCTACTTATTTCAGGTTTTCGTGAAGATTTGAAAATTTTAGTTTTTGGTGAATAGTGAATTTTGAAAATTCTTATTTTTGTAATTTATTAGTTAATTGTTGGAATTGAAGGCTGGATATATATATATATATATATATATATATATATATATATATATATATATATATATATATATATTGACTTAAGCATTGAATGGGTTCAAACACCCATTTTCTCAGTAAACAAGGGAAGAAACTAGAGATTATGGGTTTCGTTGATGAGAGTTTCGTGACGATGAACAATGAATAGTGAACAGTGTCGTATAAGTGTACAATGAACAATAACGTATATATGAAAAGTGCCCAAATTATATTTTATTTAAAAACATGTAACATTGAATGCCATGAATGTTATGGTTGTTTGTGAATTATGATTGATCGTTATTAATCATGTATTTGATGTGGAATATGTGTGATTGAATTATATTTACACCTTGAAATAGGTGTTGTTCATTGGAGATTAATTGTGTGGATATTTTGGACTTGAAGACAACTATTGAGAAGGTTGCCTGTGTTTAAAGAAATCTCCTAGAAAATTTTACTTCAAGAGGTAAGCTGTTGGTTTCAGAGTTTTACTACATTATTGTTGTTCCACTATGCTCCTGCGAGGGTTATGGTTATTATTTGGATGATTGAGCGGGATGTTATATACTTAGTATAGCTACATTCATATAGATATGTATATGTGATGACTAATTGATATGATTTATGAGAGTTC